CGTACGCTGTTGCTAATGTTCAGCCGGTACTTGTGCTGGCAAATTGCGAAGAGTCGTGGCTTGTAGTTATGGCTTCACGCGTACGCTGTTGCTAATGTTCAGCCGGTACTTGTGCTGGCAAATTGCGAAGAGTCGTGGCTTGTAGTTATGGCTTCACGCGTACGCTGTTGCTAATGTTCAGCCGGTACTTGTGCTGGCAAATTGCGAAGAGTCGTGGCTTGTAGTTATGGCTTCACGCGTACGCTGTTGCTAATGTTCAGCCGGTACTTGTGCTGGCAAATTGCGAAGAGTCGTGGCTTGTAGTTATGGCTTCATGCACACGCTGTTGCTAACAATCGGCCGGTACTTGCGCTGGCAAGCTGCTAAGAAAATGTTGGCGTTGGCATTTTGTAAATGTGTTTCGAGCATCGTTCAGTGATAGTCGTCTCTCCCGTCGGCTGCACGCTCGCTGCGGAACGTGCGCGTCTGCCGGTACTCACCCTCGTGTGTGCATGCGCGCGCGTTTGTGCACGTGGCCGTTGCAGGCGTACCACCAGACGGCTCCTTATCAGCAGCAGCAACAGCAGCAGCAGCAGCAGCAGACGTATGCACCACAGCCGACGTACGAGCAGCAACCGCCTGTCATGTCCGAACTGGTATGCCGCTGTCTCCGCTGCCGCCGTCTTGCTGCGGCAGACGCTTGGTCGGCGAGTAGCCGTAGATCTTCCCCTCCTCTTCCTTCTCCTCTTCATCCTCTTCCTCCTTCTGCTCATCCTCCTGCTCCTTGTCGTCGTCCTCCTCCTCCTCCTCTTCCTCCTCATCATCCTCATCCTCCCCCTCCTCTTCCTCCTCATCCTCATCCTCCCCCTCCTCTTCCTCCTCCTCTTCATCCTCATCCTCCCCCTCCTCTTCCTCCTCTTCATCCTCATCCTCCCCTGCCTCTTCCTCCTCCTCCTCATCTTCATCCTCCTGCTTCTCCTTCTCTTCTTCTCCCCCATTGATTCACATTCCCTTGCATGATGACCGCCCCACCACATCTTTGCGATTGGTGCTTTGTTTGCACGTGCTGGTTTCGCGATCGACGGCAGCGATAGAATTGTGACGCACGTGCTTAGAATGCGTACGCACGGCGGTGGCAACTAACCCTGCGCTTGCTACGGTAGTGTGCGCAGTCGAAGCGTCTCGGCTTGGTGTTGAGCGGTGCGAGGTTTCGGGGGTCGGGTTGACGAAAGTCGACGGTGGAAGTAGTCGGGGTTTCACTAACACGCCGGTGGTCACGTATTGGTGTTTGTGCTTTTTACAGAGCCAACAGATAGAGTCCCAGACTTTCACTAATTCCTCGTACAGTTATAACAACATGTCTGCCTACAGTCAACAGTCAGACATAGTGCTTCCGCAGGTAAGACTGCGGTCGTCGTCGTTGTGATGGTAGGGGTTGTAAGCTCTCAGCTCTGGGTTTCTCTCTAAACAACGCTCTCTCTCGTATTTCGGTGTGCGTACGCGCGCGCGCGTGTGTGTACTAATCACTTGTAGAGCGCGCAAGCCTGCGTGCGTGCGAGCGAAAATGCACAAGCGTACCTCAATGCCGAGTCTACGCCCGTGTTTCATGCTCGATGGTTCCTGCAGGGGGCAGCACTGCCGGCGGAACCCGACCAGCCTCCGCCACCGATCCCGATGCCGCAGCGGCAGCACAGCCCCGTGGAGCTGAGCACGCTGAACGTGAACGCAGCGTCGTTCCAGTACAGCAAGGTATGTTAGGGAAGGCCATGTAGAGGGAGAGGTCATGTAGACGGGGAGGTCGTATAGGGGGAAGGCCACGTAGAGGGAGGGGTCGTGTAGAGGGGGAGGTCACATAGGGGGAAGGCCACGTAGAGGGAGGGGTCGTGTAGAGGGGGAGGTCGCATAGGGGGAAGGCCACGTAGAGGGAGGGGTCGTGTAGAGGGGGAGGTCGCATAGGGGGAAGGCCACGTAGAGGGAGGGGTTGCATAGAGGGGAAGGTCGCATAGGGGGAAGGCCACGTAGAGGGAGGGGTCGTGTAGAGGGAGGGGTTGCATAGGGGGAAGGTACGTGTACTTGCATACGTACGCACTCACGTACGTAAGTAATTTTGCATGTATTCACGTACATTTTCGTCGTCATCGTCGTCGGCAGGTGTTGGACACCACCTACAAGGACCTGCGAGCCGTGCTGACGTCGATCGCTGACTCGCACTACTTTGACACGGAGGGCGCCAGCGAGGAGGCTGCCGCCGCCGCCGCCGTCGCCGAGGGCGAGACCAAGGAGGAAGAGGAGGAGGAGGAGGAAGAAGAGGCTGCCGAGGAGGAGGGGCAGCAGCAGGAGCAGCAGCCGCAGCAAGAGACGGCAGGTGCGAGGCGCGCCTTCGATATTTGTTATTGTTGGCGATGGATGTGTGTGCAGTGCTGTTAGTTCCGTCAGCGACGTAAACAATATCGCTGCGTCTTGCCGCTCACGGTTGTGTGATCATCATGCCGCTCTCTCTCCTTCTCTCTCTATCTCTCTCTCGCTCTCTTTCTCTCTCT